GGTTTAGGGTTTAGGGTTTCTGCGACTCACGTCGGAAAACACCAACTCTGAGCTTGCTGCCTTATAACTTTCCAAACCAAAGACGCAGCTGACATAGACACAGTATGTACGATCTACCGGACTCCCATATAGCTAAACGCGAGCCTACAGGAAAATAAAAGGTGTCCCAGTTGCAGATGCACAGTAAATTCTAACCATCCAGTCTATATACACTGGACCTGAAACCCACAGGACATGTGCAACCTACAATGAAATCCAAAACCCTCTCTGAAACCAGTTCCCACCCTTCCCCTCCGAAGCCTCTCATGTCAGCCACAACAGCAGTTAAAGCGACGACGAAACGACGACGAAAAGTTGGGGATTCGGTGAATTAGGACGCTGCTACGAAGGAGACCGTTTTTCCCGGCGTGCTTGGCAAAGACCTGCAAGGAAGCACAGGTATGCGACACCTTGCAAAAGACTCAGGCCGTTGGCCAGCGGGCGGAATCACAAGGTTCCCCGTGTCACCGGCGGCTGGCACCTATAAGCCCTCCGAACAAGCTTTACGCTTAATGCCTTGACAGACATGTCTTGAAGGGCTCCCCCTCTCCAGGAGGCCCGATACCATTACCATATCAAGTGAAGGGGATTAAATAATACAGGGCCTTACCAATTAGAACAAGGTTTTNNGTTTTGGGGCCCATTAAACCATAATTATACTCAGGAACCCCCAATAGAGTATGGGTAGTTATTAAGGCCCCTCTATTAGGTGTCCTCTTTACAGCACTCTACCACGGCGGAGACCGAGCCGATCTGAGATCCACGCCCCGAGGTGAGGCAACATATGCAGAGCTTCTGCCACATGCTGGCATTGTTTTTTAAACCGTAAACCCTAATCGTATAAACTCCGTAAGCCCTAAACTTTACTGTCTTGCGTTAAGCCGTAGCACTTCGCTAACTCTGGGAACCCCGTTCACAACTGCCGCCCGCCAGGGATTTCCTGAAGCGAGCATGCACAGCGCCGGGCCATCAAAGCTGAGCTAATCGATGCCACGGAGAGAGGGATGTGGCTCTAGGGTTTAGGATGTAGGAAAAGGACAAACATACACAAATGCCCTAATTTCTTTTGTTTGCTGCGAAGGTTGCAGGGCTGCACAGTCTTGTCGCAAAGCAGTGACCACACTGCGGCAGCCACCAACCAGCCAGAGTCGCAATCTGAGGCTGAAGCTAGCTTGTGGGAAACTCCGTGTAGGAAGATGTCCAGGCGAAGTCATGTTCGTACGAATGTGACACACATGACTTGCACAGCCGATCTTTGCGGAAACAAAGCCCTCTCTTGTGGTGCATGCCTCAAGAGGCAATGCTGCGCTGTATTATTCCACAGCCTGCACACCACTACAAGCCAGCGTCTCTGCGTCCCGACCTCTGTGACTACCCAGCCAACTTGAAAGATGTTGAGAATTGAGTGGGATTTCAGGTTTTGGCGGTTTAGGGTTTAGGGTTTATAAAAAAACTGCAAAAAGAGTGCTGTCGGTGGGGTGTACAGTACTCATTAGAGCTTTGGCTCGGGGGGAGCTGGAAGATTAAATTTTTCAATAGGGTTTTGGGGTATAGTAAACTATAATTATTGTTAGAAAGGGGTTCTGGGGGTATCTTGTACTATAACTATTATAAGGAACCCCAAACAACTATAGGTAATTATTTGGGCCCCTATGTTACCCTAAACCGTCAGCCCCTCCCCAACGCTTCCCGAGAGCAAAGACAGGCAAGCAAAGGGCAGGCCGAGTCCAAGACAAAAGCCCTCGGTTCTTGACGCCAATCGGCCAGAAGAACGGTTTAGGGTTTAGGGTTTAGGGTATAGGGTGTAGGGTTTAGGGTATAGGGCTTAGGGTTTAGGGTTCCTACTTCAAGGATCATGGGACTTAGTAAGTAGGGTTATATAATTAAAGTAACTATACTTATATTTACGTATAACCTCAATTAAGGGACTTATAACCTTACTTACGAAGTCCCATGATCCTCCAAGTAGCCCCGCAGAGGCATTGCGACCTTCATCGTGCGGCACTTCATCCTAAACCCTAAACCCTAAACCCTAAACCCTAAACCATCCTGTGGCATCTCGCCTCACGAGGGCCCAAGATCCAGAGGCCTCCTGGGACCAGATTACCCTAAGGGGTTTAGGGTTTAGGGGTTTAGGGTTTAGGGTTTAGGGTTTAGGGTTTAGGGCTTAGCCTAAACCCTACTTGGAGGATCATGGGACTTAGTAAGTAAGGTTATAACTCCCTTAATTGGGGTTATAAGTATATATAAGTATAGTTGCCTTAATTATAACCCTACTTACTAAGTGCCATGATCCTTTAAGTAACCCCTAAACCCTGTTCCAGTCGGTCTGCAGCCGGGCATTGTAGCTCCGGTTGAGCTGAAGAGTCGAGTTGCTGAACGGCCCCTCAGTTTTGCGTGGTGTTTTTAAAGTTTAAGGTCCTTCCAGAGAGGCAGCCCAACTTAAAGTTCCTGGGCCCGCCGGGAGCCCTGGAAGGAGGAGGCAGAGGAGCACCCGAGAAACACGCTGAACCATGAAGCCCTCAAGCCCTACCTTAAGAACCCCAAACCCACTTTTTTGTAGGTTCTTATTATAAACCCTAATATGAGATTTATAGGGACCCTACAAAAAATAGGTTTTTGGTTCTTAATTTAAATCCAAAACCCTACAGTAGAGGCCATTCTCGGTGATTCGGGGCCTCTGCCTTTCTGGCTCCTCCCCCAAAGCTCGGATGGCGACTTTCAAACTCGCACAGCAGGCGCAGGCTTAAAAGTGTGCTTTGCGCACCTTCTGAAAGGATAAGGTTAGGGGCTATAAGGTTTAACCTCATCGCAAAAAGGCAGCAAAAATCGGCGGAAGGGTCTTTCCGGCTTCAAGCGGAACGAAGTTGAATCACTGAACCCCAAGGTCAACCCAGGTGAAACCCAAACAACTCCACACAAGGCCCTGCTGCAGGCTGCACTTCCGGCTCTAAAAACCCCTAGATCCTAAACGCTCAAGCTCTGAAAGCCCCGAAGACCCTGTCCGGCGCGCCATTTTTGTACACATCCGGTGCCGGGCTCTCATCCGGACACCTCAGCTAAGGAGGGGAGTAGCTGACGTAGATTCTAGCTGCTTTTGCGAGGCCTCGGGGTTCTGAGAGGGTTCTACGGGATTTCGTAATGCGTTAGGGTTTAGGGCTTAGGGTTTAGGGCTTTTTTCAAGTAGGACTTCATATGAGTTCTATGGAATTTCAATGGCGCTGTAGTTAGTTGGTCTACGCTCACCCCTGCTGCCCGACTCCCCGTAGCACAGAGCCGGGTTTCCTTGTCCTGAAGCCCTACCTGAAACCTGAGCCCTAAACCCGAAAACCTGAACCCCCAAACCTAAACCCTCCCCCAACCCAAACCTCAAACTATCAACCCCAAAACTTCACAAACCCCCGAGCCAGAACCTTAAAACCCCTCGAAAACGCACACAAAACCTCCCGTGTCTACTTCCAGCTACACATGCACCATATGGGTTTAGGGTTTAGGGTTCAGGGTTTAGGGTTTAGGGTTTAGGGTTAATATTGCACTATAGAAACCTAGAGAACAATTCGAACCCCGAAGTTGAAACCCTACATGGACACATTAGTCAAGAAAACAGTTCAAATGAAACCTAACATCCTACATGGAAATATAAGAAAGCAAAAACCTTAAGTCAAACCCTCAAAGAACCCTCATGTGGGGGCCTTAATAATTATGATAGGGTTTTGGAGTGATATAATACTATAGCTATAACAAGGAGCTCCAAAAATAACAAAGGCAATACCCTAAACCCTAAACCCTAAACCCTAAACCCTAAACCAATTATTTAGGCCCCAAATATCAAGCCCGAGGTGCAAGTCCCACGGAGCGCAGCATAGGCGGCGCGCCGTGGCGAAGGACGACCTCGGTCCCCTCCCCCCCGTGTTTTGAGGTTTTGGGGGCGTCTTATACTATATTAGGGTTTAGGGTTTAGGGTTTAGGGTTTAGGGTTTAGGGAACCCCCGAAATAGTATAGGTAATTATTTAGGCCCCAATATTGGGGTTTAGGGGCTGCCATTGGGGTTCATGGGGCCTTAGTCAGTCTTGGGAATAGGAGCGTGTCACGGGTCTCACCCGGTGAAAAGAGGTCTTCCTTGATGCCTGCTTCCGATATTCACCCTGATAAACACCTTTTCACCCCAAGCCCTAAACCCCAATCCCCAAATCCGAAAATCTCAACCATATTCTCCCCGATAGTGAGGGGACAGATGACGGCTTCATCGCAAGGAGGCTTCACACATCCCCTGCAGCCCCGGAGCCGAAAATCCTAATCCCAGCCCACGAAAATCACGAGAATGCCACAACCCAAAAACATGGGAGATTGTCCCCGAACCTATCTGGAAGCGATGCAAGGCTGTAAACCGCATGCTCGCAAACTCCCTATTAAACCCTTACAGAACCCCTACCGAGCCCCCTCAACCCTAAACCCTAGACGCTAAACCCCCTAACCCAGAACCCAACAGAGCCCCGCTTGAGAAGCCGACCACCATCGAAACTCCCATTGCGACCACCAGCGTGGGCTGGAAGTCCGAATGAAAGTAGGACGACCTCAGGGGCTTCTCTAAGGGGTTCTAGAGAGGGTTTATGGGGCTTAAAGTTTCTATAAGGGGTTCTTTAGGGGGTTGAGGGTTTAGGATTCTATAGCGGGGTCTAGCTTGGGCTTAGGGTTTAGGGTTTTGGTTCTGAGAGGGTTCTTTTGGGAGGTCGCCGCAAGGGCTTCATAAGGGTTTACAGGCGTTAACTGAGAAGAGCTTAAGCTCGAAAAAACAGGGGCCGTGTCTAACAAGTATCATTGGGCAGATATAAGGGGATGTTAGGCGTCACGGGTTTTGATCAGGGCTTTTGGGTTCGATTTTGGGTTTGGACCTTGGGCTTCAAAGCCTTTCTCTGGAACTTTGCAGTGCTTCCGGCTCCCGGGGGCCTTCACAATACAGGATCCTGCTCCTGGGGTGTTTAGAGTGTGTAGGGCGTCGACTTTAGGGGAGGGGGGGGTCTATAAACAACCATCGGCCTCTGACAGCCCAACCGAGAGCTTGAACCGGAGCCACAACAGTCACTCGGTCGCCCACCTCCACCCTATGCATAGAGAGTCGGAGCCCGACATCCTACAATCACCAAGCCTGTCGTGTAGGGTTTATGGTTCAGGGTTTATCTTGTAAGGCCGCATCATCCACATCCATCGAAAAGTGCAGTCCAGGTGCTGAAAGCTCGCGCACAAAAATTCCAAAACGAACTGCGCGATGCTCAATGCGGTGTTGCCCGGCTGGTACTCATGCCTGCCCAGGTCTGAGGATAACAAATGGCGATGGTGCTGTGATAAAACTTCTCATAAGCTTTCCGTCAAGGGCTCACAAAACGAAGACCACATGCTTGAGCCTGAATCCTTGCAGGCAGCAAAAAGGGGATGCCTGCAGGAGCCAAAGCGACCGGCGTCGTCACCACAGTGACGCAGCAGGTGGCAAATGGCGCCTGGACCATGCAGGTGCAGACAGGCTCTGATAACTGCGACTTTATCTCAGATGCAGCTTGCTGCAGCAATGGCAGAAGTAGTAGCACGAGCAGAAGCAGTGGTAGTAGCAAAGCAGTGGCAAAAGCAGCGGCGCAGCAGATAGTAGTAGCAGGTCGTATGTAACAGCGAGTAGTTAGTGGTGGGTAGTAGCAGTAGTAGCAATAGCAGTAGCAGTAGCAGCGGCAGTAGCAGTAGCAGCAGCAGCAGCCGCAGCCGCAGCCGCAGCAGCAGCAGCAGCAGCTGGAGTAGGAGTAGGAGTAGCAGTAGTAGTAGTAGTAGTAGTAGTAGTAGTAGTAGTAGTAGTAGTGGTCGTAGTACTGGTGATGGTACTGGTCAGTACAGTACTAGTAGTACTCGCTTGTGGCAGTGGCAGTGCAGTGGAAGTTGTTGCTGCTTCTGTGGATATGGTTTCTGTTGCAGCAGCAGCAGCGGCAGTGGTGGCTGCAGCAGCAGTGCAGCAACAGCAGTTGCAGTGTCAGTAGTGCTAGCAACAGCACTGGTCATCATGACAAACGAGGAGGAACCATGACACCCGAAACCCTGAAGCCCCTATGCCTAAACCACCCCAAGCCGCAGCGCACCTTCCAGAAGGTGGCACCTTGCGAAACTCGAAGCTTCGGGTTCACGGCTGTAAGGTTTAGGGTTGAGGGTTGAGGGTTTATATAATGTAAGGTTTAGGGTTTAGGGTTTATGTAATCTACGGTTTAGGGTTTAGGGTTTATGTAACCTAGGGTTTAGGGTTGAGGGTTTATGTAATCTAACATACTATAGTATACTATATACTGCACAAAATATGCTGTATACCATACACTGTATACTATATACTATATGCTATGTACTATATGCTATATACTCTATACTATAAACGATGTGCTGTATGCTATATAGCATATACTATATACCATCATATACTATATGCTATCTGCCTGAAGAGCTCAGCTCTGCGATCGTCGGCAGGACCGTGGTGCAGTGCAGAACAATGACTTTGCTAAAGGGGAACACAGCAGCAAATTAGGGTTTGGGGTTTTAGGGTTTGGGGTTTAAGGGTTTGGGGTTTAGGGCTTAGCATTGACATAAGAAGAGGCAAGCTTCGATTCAGGTGATGCAGTAGTAAAGAACACGACAGCCGGTCATCCCCGTTGAGCAGCTTCCGAAGCTGGGGCGCAGGCCCTACTGCGATGCTTTTTCGCGTCTGGTCCTGAAGTCGTGGGGTCGCGGGAAGTTCGCATAGAAGCTAGGAGTGTCACGGCTGTAGGGAATAGCTGCTGCCCGCGGTCCGGTGAATGACATTGGACAGCTGCTAGCAAGCACACATCAATGCATCGGCAATCCTAGACTAGAGACAGGCATGCTTCAGACAGGCATGCTTGACGGATGGTCATTTCTGCGATTAGAAAACCACCTGTACACTCACCACTACTCCTCGGGAGCCCCGACCTACTCACATCAAGAATCACGCTACAAACTCTACATGCTATAGCATGCCTGCCAGGCGAGAAATGCAGCAGAGTGTTCCCAGGGCATCGGCTACGGCACCAATCCAGCACATAACTCTGCGACTTTATGACCTGCCTTGCTTGAAGCCGAAACATCATTCACTCCCCCTGCTGCTGTTGCTGCTATCGTAATTGCTGCTGCTGATGATGATCAATGATGATGCTGCTTGCCAATGCTGCAAGACAATAGCGACAGCGTCAATGTCCTTCTTTCCATATGAACTATTGGCTTCCAAGACTCCTTTTGCAGACTCTAGGAACCGCGCTTCAGGACGAGCTACTTGAACCCAAAACCTTTACAGAATCCCGCGCCGCAGAAATTCCTAGGTAACCCAACGGGATACTACAAAAACAAACAGTCCCCTCAACCCCAATGCACTTTACGATCACTCAAAGGCTCCCCTCCCGAACCCCGGGTAGGAGGCTATAATCAACCGGGCTTTTAGGGGCGCAGTATACTTGTAGCTTACAGGGACTACAAAGGGAAGCCTGATTCAAATTCTTCGAACCCCTGTTTTCAGTTAGACATTAAAACCTACAAAACGTCATAAAAAGACAACGAACACCTATCGAACCCTACCGAACCATATACTACCCCATAAAACTACTGCTGCTACTACTCCTACTACTACTACTACGACGACTACTACTACTTCTACTGCTTCTTCTTCTTCTAGTACTACTACTACTACAACTACTGCTACGAATCCAGATTCGAAGCACTCGGCCCCTGGCGCACAGCATGGTCTGCACAAGACCTCCGTGACCTGCTCCCCAGGTTCAGAACAAGGAACCCTTCGGCTTTCTTTTAAGCGCTTCTTACAAGGGTTTAGGCTTTAGGGTTTAGGGTTTTAGGGTTTAGGGTTCAGGCTTTAGGGGTTTAGGGTTTGGGGCTTCAAAGGCTTTAGGGTCGTAGTAGCAGCAGCGGCAGCAGCAGCAGTTGTTGGTATGCTTCTTTCAGGGCTCCTTCAAAGGGTTAGCCAAGGGGTTGTTATAGGGGGTTGCATATAATCTTATGGCTTCGGGTTGAGGGTTTAGGCTTCATAGGGACTGCTTACTCATGTCTTATAGGGTCATACAGATTTTGTTTCACGGATGTTGATTGTTTCTAGGGCTTTGAGGCTTAAGCTTTCGGGCTACTATAGGGACGTTTACTGGGTTCTTGCTAAGGGATTTAGTTTAAGTTACCATAATAGCAGTCTATAATAAATAATAGGGTTCCTTACAATGGTACTAGCAACTTAAGTTAAATCCCGTTAACAAGAACCTTACTTCCCCAATAAGCCACGAAAATAAAAGGTTAAACTTTCAGATTACTACTATTATAAGAAACCAAACAGTTTAAAGGTTGGGTATTGGGGAACTAAGGAACCCAGTTTAAGCAGGTTGCATGGGTGCGTGTCGGGATGTGGAGGTGCCTGGCGCTGTACTTGGGGGGCCTGGGGGCTTCAATAGTTTGACACGAAGTCCGTCGGTGGTTTAGGGTTTGGGGATTAGGGTTTAGGGTATAGGGTTTGAAAAAGACTGATGCGCTTTCTCGCCGTTCTTAATAATTAGAATAGGGTTTTTGGGCGCATCATACTATCATAAGGAACCCCCAAATTGTATAATAGGCATTATGCTGGGGTTCCTCGGGGCCCTTTCATGTACCCACCTCCAAGCTGAAATAAACATCCGCTCTTATAGTCGATGAAAGCACGCTCTCGCAATCATCGGGGGCGAGGGCTTGGGCCTGAACTGCCACGGTGTTACTAGCTAGATATGACTCAAAAGCTGCATACCCCGAAACCCCCTTACCCAGAAGTCTCCACTCTCCAAACCCTAAACCCTAAACCCTAAACCGTACCCATCATGTCCCCGAGCGCCCGGCCATCGAAATTCCTTAGGACAATCTGGCTGCAGCATCATCAGTTGTAAACCCCGTTTCGGAACAGGGATAGCTCCAATTACTGATGACGGGGACGAAAGTTCTAGCACGCAGGACTGTAGGATGTTGTAAGGATCAGTGATACTATATATAAAATAGAATAAAGAGAGTTTTACCAAATACCGGGGCCCATCCTAGTGATGAAGGGATCGTGTTGGGTCAACCTCACGTACATGGCCTCCTGTAAGGTTCTGTGGCGCACTCCTAAACCCTAAAGCCTAAACTCTACCATGTTTCTGCTTGCGGAGGGAAGACATGACTTTGCTACATGTGTCCTGGCCGTGGTAACAAGAACAACAAGAGTAATGACACTGGAAACAACAATACTAATGATCGTTCATATTGAAGCGCCTTGGGCGTTGCAGCCCGAATCCTTGCGATTCGCTGCAGACGCTTTACGGTTTCAGGGCTCGGGGGTAGCAGCCAGGTTGTGGGGTTTGGGGTTTAGGGTCGTCTCCGACGCCCCTGCTCGAAGGTCCAGGGCTATGGACGTACCTTCGTCAGGGTTAGCACAAGCCATCATATTACAATGTTGTAAGGTCATAATAAGATAATACTACAATGTAATTTATATATATATAACAAGATAATATTCATGTCCGTATCCTATAAGTCCTTCAAGCAAGCTTGCGGGCATCTGTGGGCGCGTGCTTCACAAAACAACCTGCCTAGAGTCTCTCTACTTTAGCTCCCAAACATGGTACGGGACCCTGATAACAAGGACCTTAAAACAGGACCCTTGCTTAGAGAACTTACCCCTATAACAAGAGCCGAGCGGCTGAATCCAGTCACCCTCGAAGACCAGGGAAACGCTCCTGGAGCTGGCTTGTGGGGATGGGTTCAGGGTTTAGGGTATGGGGTTTAGGGTTGGGTGTAGGGGTTTAGGGCTTTAGGGTTTGTGCAGGGCGGTTTAAGATTTAGCGTTTAGCGGCTTGGGGCTTTTGGGGTGTTTGTTTACGCGGCCTTCTTTCACATTGCGGGCTTAGGTTCTTATGGTTTTGGGGGATCGAGGGGTGCGAGGCTTGGGGTTTAAGTTTCAGGGGACAGGCGTTGGGGGCTCATGGAGAGGTTTGCAGGTTTAGGCCTAAACTTTAGGCCTTCAAGGGTTTAGGGGTTTAGGGTTTAGGCTTCAAGGATGGGGTGGTTTTGGCCTAAGGGGCTCTGGGGATTTGGGGGCATACAGCTTTAAAGGGTTTGGGAAGTCTCAGCAGTTAGGGTTCGAATGGGGACAACAATGATTTCGCAGGGCGGGGGTCGACTCAGCGCCCTAAACCCTAAACCCTAAACCCTGCCGAAAGGAATAGAACCACAGAGTGGACAAATTGCAAATAGAGTGTAACGGAGCTTTCAGAGGCCTAAACGCACCCTAAACGCTAAACCCTAATGTAGGGGCCTGAATAATTGAGTAGAATAGGGTTTTGGGGGTATACCAGACTATAACTGGAATAGATAGGGAGCCCCCAAAATAGTATAGGTAACTCTCAATCCCTAATCCCTTATAAACCCCTAAAGTAGCCCCTTTATTAAACCCCTGACCACAGAGAACCAAGAAGTCCTCTGGTGGAGTGCCTGGCCGCCCAGGAACGAACGCTGCTGCGCCTCCGAGGCGTCTGCGAGGGAGAAAGCGGACTTCAACGGGTTCGGGGTCATCTGGGGGGGTAAGGGCTCTTGTGCTCTTTGTGTTAAGGGTTCTTGTGCTCTTTGATTTTGACCTAAGACTTCTGAGATTTTATGTTTAGGAGTTGGTTGCACGGTAGGGATAGCGGAAATCTGACGGGTGGGGTTCGGCTGTCGCTTTGATACCAAAGCTGACGTGAGTGGGACAGAACTTCGGGTGCGTCATGGACCCAACTAAAGCCAAGCTTGCGCAAGGAGCCGTGCTAAAACGATCAGCTTTCGTTCACCCTGACCCGTACTTGCAGCTTGCTGCAGTAAGCTCACTGGCGATACGTGTGGTCGGCAGTGTGGCCAGAGGCAACAAACAACAGGTCTTTAGCGGTTCAGGGCGCAGGGCGCTGTTTTGTGTCTTACGGGGCTTGAAGGGAGAACACCTGCTTTGAACTAGTTTTGCTAGCGGCTGCACCCTTTGATCTAGAAGCCTAATCTCTCTTTTGGACTGGAGGTTGCTGAAACAAGGGACAGCACACACACTGGCCTCGTGCTTGGCGAGAGAGTGGTACACGCCTGGCGTGCAAATCCCGGCTCGGAAAATGCCATGAGGATTCTTCAGAGTGGAATAGCCCTATACCCTGAACCCAATAGGATACTACCGCTACAACCGGCCGCTGCTGTACGCCGTGTATTTCCGTAATACTACCACGTTGACTCAAGCTTCCGGCCTGGTGGCTGGATGGCCACCGCTTGCCGATCCTAAGCAGAGGAAATGGTACAGCTTGCGTTTTGTTAAGGTAGGGGCCTTGATAATTAGAATAGGGTTTTGGGGGTCCTGTTTATAATTAGTATAATATACCCCCGACGTTGGGCTTTGAGATTTAAGGTTCAAGGTTGCGGGTCAAGGGGGTTCGGCTTTCTTAGGTGCGTAATGTAGGGGCCTTAATAATTAGAATAGGGTTTTGGGGTACGTTGTACTAGAACAATAATCGGAGCCACATTAGTATAGGTAATTATTCAGGCCCCTATATTAGGGTTTTGGGCTTCGGGTTTAAGAGTTGGATTCAATGTTTCTGGTGTAGGGTTGGGTTAGGATGCAGAGTTCCCGAGTAATGGATTGCTTACATCATCTTCTCAGCCGGCTCGCTGGTTGGGCTAAAAGCTTCCAACAATCTCTCAAGTGAGTCCTCTATTGCAGTCACCGGTTTGTAGGAATTGAAGGCGTTCGGAGTTATTGCTTTATTAACTGGCTCCTTCGTGGAGTCAAATGGAGTCACGGCCACGGACAAGCACCGGTATCACCGGCAACTGCAGAGAAGCATTAGTGACAGTAGTGTCTCAAAGATCCTTGCACCCGCAACCCTGAAATCCTAAACACCCCCTTCAGCAAAGGCAAAAGACCGAAGTTTAAACTTTGCAGCGGAGCAGCTGCCAAAGCTCCGACTACCAAGGCAATCCCACCTTCTTCGTTGCAGGGTTAAGGATTTACGTTCAGTGTGGCGGAGTTCTGCTCGGGGGATTTGAACAGCTCTGGATTGGCGCATGCCGATAATATATTAACATACTACAATGTATTATAACATGCTATGAGACTATGAAATACCATAATATACTTTAATGTACAATAATATTGCTACCCTAACACCTAAGCACCAGGCCCCTGTTTCTGAACTTTGGTCTCAAGGCTCTGGACATGTAGGCGTTGCAGGGTGCAGGTACAGCTACTGGGCACGGAATCTCCCAGGTTGACGATGAAACTCAGAAGCAGCCTGGGATACTTCTCTAAGGAGAAAGGGTTTTGGGTTGTATATTACGTATACCATGACTATGTTAAGGACCACATTTGTATATAATATATATATATATATGTGTATTTATTTCTTTTTATTTATCTTTGATGTGTATGGGGCTAGTTTTGGTAACTTTATTAGACCCCTCCTTAAGAAAGAGCGAGTCCGAAGCCCTACCTCACTTAAGGGCCCCTCAACCCTAAAACCTCCTAGGAAGGCCAGGGTCTAGGGTCTGGGGTTTAGGGTCTAGGGCTTAGGGTCTAGGGTTTACGGTCTAGGGTTTAGGGTTTAGGGTTTATGGTCTAGGGTTTAGGGTTTATAGTTTAGGAAGCCCCGATGTTCTCTCCCGCTTCCACCTCCCAGAGAGTGGCCGGTAACGACGACTTCCTGCCGGATGTGGCGAGATCTTCGTATCTTATAGTGTATTATAGTACATTATAGTATATTATGGTATCTTATAGTCTTTCTAATACATTATAGCTTCGTTTGTCCCCGAGGAAACAAAAACACCGTCAAACTCTAGAACACACTGACATAAAGCCTACTCCACATACACCTTTCTCTAGCCCCCCATGAAACACTGTGAGGCCCTGCAAGACCCTGCGTATTGACCACCTTCCTATACGGGATCCTCTACTAATGTAGGGGCCTTAATAATTAGAATAGGGTTTTGGGGGGTATATTATACATAAGTTATAATAAGGAGCTCCCACAATAATATTCGTAATTATCTAGGTCCCTAAAGTAAACCCTAAAAACCCTAAACCCTAAACCCCTATAGTAAACCCTAGACCCTATTTAGGCGCCTATACTACAGAACCCTTATACTATCCCTTTTTCAGGAACCTATTCAAATTATTAAGGAGGCCTAAACCCTAAACCCTAAACCGTATTACGATCTTCTTTGAACACGCGATTTTCAGCGGCCTGATCCCGCGGCAGCGACCGCACGTGCTCCAGGATCTCGCCTGGGATCGCGAGGAGGTTTAGGGGTTTAGGGTTTAGGGGTTTAGGGGTTTAGTGTTTAGGAGTTTAGGGGTTTAGGGGTTTAGGGGTTTAGGGTTTAGGGGTTTAGGGGTTTCGGGGTTTAGGCGTTTAGGGGTTTAGGGGTTTAGGGTTTAGTTTTTCTGTTGTTGAACGCCTTTTTCCGTCTGCCAAATGGAATCCGGAACTTCAAAAGCTGAGGTTCTTAGGGCTTGGTGCTTAGGATTTGGAGTCTGACATTTGCGTGTAGGGTTTTGTCCAGGATCTGGGATTTAGGGTTTGGGGTTTAGGTTAAGTTTGGCTGCAGAGATTGGAGGGCTTCGTAGATGCAGGGTTCACTGCCAAAGGATTTCACACAAGCCTTTCACACAGGCTTCTTGGAGCCTGGGGCGTGCTGGCTTTGCTCTGGATTTTGTCACGCGGGGTTCGAGGAACCCCAAAACAGCCTTGTGAAGGATTTGAAGAAGGTTTGGAAAAGAAAGGGGGAGGGCTTCGGCTAAGAATTCCTATAAGGGTTACTAAAGGGGCAGGTTTTACACGGTCTTCCTTGGTTGAGTTGGGTTTGGGTTTGCCTAGTGGCTTGGGTCTCAGGGGTAGAGCTGGCTGTGATTCGCACGATCCTCTGCCAAGAAAGCCAAGTCGCTGTAGTGCCACTGGTTGTCTGCCAAGCCCAAGCCACCTGGCATCAAGATTCTGCTTCGCGGAGTCTAAACAATACCGCGAAGAAACGAGATTACGACAACGACGACGACGACCGTAACTGTGACCCCGACTATTCTTAACGACTGTGACTGTGACTTCTTCGGCTTTCCAGCAAAAGGGTTCAGCCTGAGCCAGCCAAGTTGAGAGTCAGGCGGTCTTGGAGCTTCAAGATAGCAGAAATTTGTGTTCAGGATTTCACAGCCAACAAGGCCAACCACTTTTGAGGCTTCGGGGACTTTCTCGTCTGCTTTGTGGTAGAAACAACACAGAGAACTCCAACCTGGAGGTGTGCCAGACTCCCCACCCTCAACCCTAAACCCCCAGGTCCTAATATAGGGGCCTCAATAACTAGAGTAGGGTTTTGGGGTATGTGATACTATAGTTATAATCAGGAACCCCCCAAAAATAGCACTGGTAATTATTTAGGCCCCTATACTAAGCCGCTAACTCCTCTACGCAAAACCGCAATGCGCCCGCCTAGGATGTCGTGGATGGTCCGGATGACCAGTGCCGCGGAGTCCCTTGGCCAAATCCTTCAGGGTCTTCGTGACTGCACCCTTTTGTCCTTATGTATACAGTTTGTACGCATATATATATATATACACATATCGAGAGAAAGAGATCTATCTGAATCTGTCTATCTATCTATCTATCTATCTATCTATCTATCTATCTATCTGTGTGTTTGTCTGTCTATCTATCTATCTATCTATCTATCTATCTATCTATTTATCTACTATCCATGAACCAATCTATCTATCCATCTATCTATTTTCTATCTCTCTCTCTCTGTGCATAAACACGCATAGGGTTAATGGTCAGGGCAAGGCAGAGGACCCTAAAGACGGCAAACCCCAAAGCCTAAAGCCAAAAGATGAATGACGCCTAAGCCTCTAAGACCATAAACCCTAAACTTTAGGGTTTAGGGTTTAGGGAGACCATGAACCCTAAACCTACCATGACTACCGCATGGTCCAGCCTCCCCCCAAAAAAGCCCCTGGAGCCATAATAGACTGCATTATGAACCCTAAACCCGGAAGCCTAAAACCCCTAAGCCCTAAACCTTAGGGTTCAGGGTTTAGGGAGACCATGAACCCTAAACCTACCATGACTGCCGCATAACCCCGAACCCTCAGCTTCATGGGAACCCTTGCCTGATCGTCGGGAAGACGGTGGCCAGGATCGCGAGGGAGACCGGCTCGGTCCACCTCTGGAGCGTTTAGAGCTTGCTTATCTGGGTCTTAGGAGTTGGGGAGGGAGTTTCGGGGTTTCGGGTTACGGAATTTGAAGTGTCTGTTGTTTGTTGATTGTTGGGATGTTGTTGTGGTGGTTTTGATCTTGAGTGGGCAACAAAGAATCTACATTTACCAGCTCTGGGCGCCGCAAGGTTTCCCTAAACCCTAAACCC